CCTGCTTGTATGTTGTGGATAATCTGGACCATCCTTCTCATTGCATCAATGTCCCACATTTTTCAGCAGCCCTCAATGCCTTAATACAGGGGTGGGCAAAATGCAGCCTACGGGCTAGATGCAGCCCTCCAGGCTATTCTATCCGGCCCGTGGGGCCCCTAAAAAATTTAGAAAATTCATATTTATCTGCTCTTGGCTGCCTGTCATGTGCTCCTCAATGGCTTGCCAAAACGCAGTAAGCAGCCCTCCACCCGAAATAATTGCCCACCCCTGCCTTAAAAGAATGCAGAAATGTGTTGTAAATTGTATCAGAGAGTCCTAGTCATAAACTAGGACTGTATTGTCCTAGAAGCAGTATATATATTATACAAAAACAAGGTCCTTCTCCCAAAACTTTACAGTTTTGTTTATGTGAGGAATTATCTTAGTGTAATTGTCCCATTCTAGTTAAAGTGCTATAGGTGAACGTTACATTTAGACCACACTAAGGGCACTTAAAAGGTCAGGGCATTTATACACATGCTCTGCGAGTGTGGGGAGGAGGAGGTGCTTTAATTAGAGTGGCTCCAAGAGCTGCTTTAATTCAGTGGTTGAAGCATCTTGTGTATTAGTGTCCCCGTGCTGAAAAATGGCAGTGGGAATGCGTTAACTAAAGCTCATCGAACAAGCTTTAGTTAAAGCAGCCCCGCCGCCATTTTTCAGCCAGGGATGCTGATACACGAGATGCTGGAGTTGGCTGGAGCGCAGTAATTACCACACTCCAGTAAACTCGATTAATCGAGTCTGCTCCAATGCGCTGTAATTAAAGTGCATCAGAGCAGCCTTGCTGCTCGTGTATAGGCACTCTCAGTGTCTGCAGGTTAAAGCTCATCAGCTTGTGCTACATGCCCTCTGAGCATCTCAAAGTTACACCACTTCAGGCAAGGGTTAACTCTGGCCCGTGCTGCCTAGCTCAAGTTAGGGTAACTCCAGTCTACACTACGGAAATAAAATGAGCAATTTGTAGTCCTCCAGCATCCCAGGATGCACTGCTCCTGGCCCTCCTTTCTCCCCACTCCAAAGCAGGGATAATGCAGAGGTGTCCTGACTCCTAGCCACTCCCAGCTCACCTACCTTCTAGTTGCAAGTCAGCACCGGGCAGGCAAGAAACAGTATTAATCTTTAACGTATGACTGTTCATAGCATGGTCTAACTTTAGCACTGTGTAATATCCCACCGATCTAGCATGAGCTAGGTGTAACGTATAACTTCTCTCTAAAAGCATCCCCTCAGAGGGGTTTAAATTCACATCTCTTACATGGGAGAACATTCTGCATAGACAAGCCTTAAGTCCACCCTCCCTGCGTGCCACTTGGATCCCCTTCCCCTGCCTGATCTGTTGCTCTTCTTTCTGTTCCCTGTCCTGTGCTCCTTGCCTGATCTGTTCCTCTGCCTTCTGCTCCCTGCCTTATCTGACACTGTATTCCTTGCTCCCTCCTCCATCTGCTGCAAGCCATAGATGGAGGTTGCTCATGCCAGCACTTTTGCTAAGGGGTAGCCACCGTTGCCTTTGGTGAACACCTCCAGACTTTAGTGCATGGAAGGACTGCTACACTACCAGCTCCAGCCTGGTAACACTGCAAATTGTAGGCTGTGACGGGGGCTTCATTTACAGATTTAAAAGACAGAAGGGACCATTATGATCGTCTAGTCTGACCTCCTACACAATCACACGTTATGGGATTCCACTCTTGTTCTGCACATAAGCCAACAGCTTACTGGTTGGTTGACCTACAACAAACATCCATCAAAATCACCTGCAGACAGCCTACTAACGGGCTCTGCATTGATGATATAGTATCAAGCAGCAGCAGGTTCGTTGCAGGGACAAAAGCTCACTGTTTGCACCCGAATCTCTGAATTGAAACAGAGGGAACGTAGTCGAGTAAACTTCTTCATACAAGCCTCCATGATTTGATCTTCCGTAGGGCTAAAAGTTAGATTAGCATCAGGGTTCCAGATGTAAGATACAGTCACGCCAGCCACAGAGGCAAGCAACCTAGCTATTGAATGCCTCGGTGTTAATCTCATTTTGAACACACAACTAGAGTTATTACCTCTGAAATGCATGGCCATGCTCTTGTTCTATCAGCCATCTTTTTTACAGGAAAAATTCAATTTTAAGCAGCTCACGCATTTGTCATAAATAAAACATTTTTATTATTTCTCTCCATCTTACAAAAAGAGAAAACTCTCATTTTCTCCCACTAAACAAAACTCCTTCTTGTGGATGGATTTGTTGTGTAGGTGTTTTGTAAGTTCTTAAGTCATGCAGGATCATTATAGACAGAAATCTTCACGTTGGGGAAAATACAAAGGAAGTCCTTGCTTAAACAGAAAATTCCCAACAGTCTTTGAAGCTTTCCTTTCCACAAGTCTTGCAGCAGAAACCTGACTACTTCAAAAGTTTATACCACTCACAGAAGAGAAATATGGATTAGTCCTCAGAGGTCCACCCAGCGTAGAATTAAACCTAAAAAAACAAAATTTCAAATTAAATCCATCCAATCTTTTTATGTCTTTCTTAGTATTCTCCTTCTCTTGAACTTGTTCTCTCTCCCCCACCCCACCCTGCCTTCCCAGCCCCTCTCTCTGTGACATTGAACTACATTTAACCCTCTTCTGAGGACAGATAAATATGGTGGAAGACCATGGGAATGGGATATAGATAAGTATGTTTTTGCATCTTTTGGTATCTAAATATCTTTAAATTCCCAAAGCGAAGAGACTAAAGCTTTATGTAGATATTAGATTTTTTTCCTCCCCAAATTTTTCCCATTAGTATTACAGACCAGTGGTCTTCCACCATATCTAGCTGTCCTCAAAGTACAGTCAAATACGGTTTAATGTCATTGCCACAATAAGTGAACTATAGCATCAGGAAGTGTTAACTGAGGGTGGAACAAATTCTGTAGACCATGAAGTCCTCTCCTCAGAGGAGAGGAAGAGTCTTCTCCTCTCTTCCTCCTCCTCTTCCTCTCCTCTCCTCTCTTCTCCTCCTCTCCTGTTTTGCTTGCTGAGCATAGCAAGCAAATTGCTTTGCACGGCTCTTCCTTGGCACCACCTCCTCAGGCAATATTTCTTACGATGTCTTGACTGGGGGATCACTATTTGGCAGCCTTATAATAAAGCTCTCCTGAGAGTTCAAGAACTTGAATAAACATGGAGACAATAAAAATCAGGACAGAGGCTTATAGGTGGGGTATGAAGAGATGGTCTATGGGCAACCTGTATCATTGCTGCCATTAGTGTAACTTTTCTGTGGCAAAACTAGAACTCGAGTCTTTGGAGATATTCCCCACTCTGCAGAGACCTGTTGATTTTTGATGAAACTTTTGATGGGGAGGTGTCAAGGAGAATTGTTTAAAATGTACTTGTTTCAAGAGTATCAACACAATTCATTTTTTTACCATTGGAATGTGTTCTTTTTATCAGATAAAAAACATTTTGCTGTGCCTTCTTATTACAGTGCCTCATTTTTCTTTACTTTTCATCTTCTAATTTTAAGTACAATATGTAGATGCCATGTTTTAGACCACAACGTTTCAACTTGATCAAAATAAATAATTCTAGATGTCCTCAAATCAAAATTGAGTTATAATTTCCATTCTGGGATAACGTCATTTTTTTTTAACTCTAGCTTGGAATGAAGGGAACTTTAACATGCTAGCAGTCCCCACAGGATGGTGATCCCATTTTTTGACCATATCTAGGCAGCAAATTCCATTTGGTTTTGCAATAACACAACAAACCCTCCTGTAAAGTGCTAACCGAACTATTCAACACGTTTGCATGGACATACCCGTATAAATGAGGGAATTGATACTGCGGTCCATCACCTGCCATTGCTGGTGGATCACGTATATTGCTAGATGGCTTGAGGAGGTTCCTCTGCTGGTATGAATAATTGGGATGGACCAGAGGGACATAGTTCAATAGAGGGGTGTAAGGTGACCGAAAAAGGTGCTGTGGATTGTAAGGAGTTACCTGTAAGGGAAGGAAATGTAATATGAGAGATGAGGTGAAACAGAATCATTGGGTGCAGACACGTTATATTTGTCATGTGAAAGCACTCTACAGCCATGCCCTTAGCTCCAGTCCACCTGCCCCACCCTCCAGTGCCAGCTGAAAAAACCCAGACTGAGCTCCCTCTCCTGCTCCCATTCTGAAGATAGCACCAAGGTTGGGAGGGGAGAGGGGAAGGGCTAGAGGAGAACAGCTGCACTCACAGCAGCTCCAAATTGCTCCAAATGTCTCTTGGGTCCGGGGGATCGCTGTAACTCATGGCGCTTCCTGCAAACCGCTATGAGTTACAGTGGGGAGCTGCACTTCTGTCTGTGCCCATTTAGAGCTTGATCTTATAAGTGACATTTGGAACTAGAAAAGGCTGAAATATTTCAAAATTGTTAATGAGGTTGTGGTGGGGGGAAGTTTGCTATGTCATTTTTTATAAAATCTTTCATTTTCTTTATAACCACAGGCTGGTTGTAACTTGGGGGGCGGGGGGGGGAGAGATGACTACATACCTATATCTCCTAAAGCAAGGGAAAGATTCTTTGGGTGAAAAAGCTTATGAACTTCCCCACCCATATCAGGTTAATTTTGAACAGTTGAACCAAACCTTCAATTCCTCCCAGTGGCACAAGGGGTTGAGAGTACTCAGCACCTCCCAGTATGCTGTTCATAAGACAGTTAAGGCATTCATGTTATTATACGTGCCAACAAGAACAAAAAAAAAATCTTGGGTCACTTCCTGAAGAAGCCTTTCCAATGGCACAAAAATCAAAGATCTTGCACCAGGCAAGGGTTCCTCCCCTTAACTGCTATGGATTTTTTTTTTCTGCAAAGAAATAGTGATACTATTTAGGTCCGTCTCATCAGGCTAAGTGGGAGAAAAGCACTCCTTAGATACATCTTTAATTGGATAGAGAGCTGCAGTGATGTTTGCTATGATATGCATAACTATCCAACTTTGACCAAAACTGCCCAACAGAACTTAAACTAGTACCTTGGACTTCCTAGCTCTGTTGAGTTAGCCACTGGAACACACTGGCCCACATGTATGGCTACAGCATTGTGTAACATTTCTGTAGGATATTGCACTTTTTTTTTTTACTCCCCACTAGGGATAATACTGTAATGCCTGTGAGACACTGACTGTTATGCTTTCAAAGTGATGGCATGTTAACTTCTTTCTTAGTTCACGTTTTAGCTTTTATAACTACTGTGACTACTTCTTCCTCTTTTTTTTTTTTCCCTTTTCTTCTTTTTTTAAGTGTCCAGCTGGAGAAACTCGCTTTCATCTGACCAAAAAGGTTGCAGTGACATGTCAGATCACTTCTGCTGAGGCTCTTCTCATGACTTTGCAAGCCAACTCCAGCTCTCTGCTGTGCCTCTTACTGTCAGAAAATATCTTGCAGCAGCCCATCCATTGTTTTCATCATTCATAAATTAACTTAAAATAGAAATGCACATTTCAGAAGGCTGATTGCGCTGTTCTTTAAAAAAAACCAAAAACCCTTTCCTGAGTTAATCTATAATGGAACATGAGCAATTTGTTTTTTTAATTAGAGATTTGGGGCCAGGTCCTTGACTAGTGTAAAAGGTGTAACTCCGTACAGCTATACTTATTTACACCATCTAAGCATCTAGCCCCCAAATCTATTTTTGCGAAAGCATCAACGTCAGTCATGCCACATGACAAACTGCTCTGACTAATCTATTGTGCTTAGCATCTGTGTACTGCAAATTAAAGCATATCCATAACCATTTAGACACACCTGTCTTGAATAGCATCCTAGAGAAGGGTGTATAGTCTGCTGATATGGCATCCGCATTCTCTGATGATACAAGCCCTGTTAAATATACATAAGACACAAGTATGAAACAGGCTGACTTGGTATGTTAATTATTGCTGTGCAATACTTAGCTTTTTTTTAAGAGATGCTATCTGTTCAAAGGAGTGACATTTATTCGGTACATGTAGGCCAAATTCTCTTCTTTACCTCCCCAAATATGGGTTTCTTTTACTGAATGCTCCACCATATTTGGGAAAGAGCTCATTTTTCTACTGACTTCAGTGAGAAATGAAAAAATCATGAGGGCACATAATAGCTTAGCCCCCACTATGCATTCACCTCTGAAGGAAACAGCTCAGCTCTATGAAATGCAACTGCAAATAACAAGGTACAAAAATGTACCCACAAAAGGAAGAGCCGAGATGAGGCCTACAAAAGAATTTAGCCCTAAAATTAGGATTTTCAAAGGTATTCCCGGTGTTTAGGTGCTCAGAGCTAAGGTGAGTGCTTAAGTCTACTTCTGAATATACCAAACTCATTTTTCATGGACTAAGATGAAAAATGCTATTATGAGGCAAAAAGATCTGGATCTAGTTGAGGAACTTTGCTTCTTGCACAAAAGGAAATGACACAATGGGATCTCTCGAGGAAAATGAGAATGGCACGTGCAAATAAGCCAAAGGGTGATGAAGCTCAGCCAGGTAGGGGGGGACTCGTGTGGTTTGAGCAGGTTCTAGGGTGACAAGCAATGAGCTGTGGGCACGTAAAAGACAGAGGACGGACCTGCTTTCACAGGCCTGTTCCACCTTTCACATGCTCAGTGAAAGAAATGGAACAGGCCTAATAGAAACTTTTTTCTCACAAGATGAATTTCATCTGCTAAATGCAAAATCAGAGATTCGAATGAAGGGATAGAGAGAAATTGATCAGTCACAGAAACTCGGAGTTTGTCGTACATGACCCACGGATTGTATCGTTTGGCAAACACGCCATGAAAGCTTGTGGAATCAGTACATCTGTCTGCTCTAATGAATGTTAATAAACCTCAACATAGCATCTTTCATGCACGGGTCCTAAAAGTCACCATATTCAGTAGGAATCTGTGTCTGTCTGAGGATCTATCTAAATTCATTTCACTGAAGGACCCAGGATCACAATCTGGGGTTCTGCTGAGATACCTTCAAATTCAGGCGTTTGATTTATATGTGGACATGGGATTCCACTACACAATCCTACACGTAAGAAAAGTAACATCCTACTAAAAGACATGGCTATAGGTTGGCATGTGAAAAACCCACATAACTGCAAGCCAGAAATAAGAAACTAGTGAAATTCTGGATAGGTTACAGTTCAGTGTGTTTGTGTGATATATATGTATAGATAGATAGATAGATAGATATAATCTATAGATATCTATCTATATCACAGAGATAGATATAGATAGATATATCTCTAATCTAGAGATATCTATCTATATCACATCTATCTATCTAGATAGATATCTATATTGATATAGAAATCTATCTATATCTACAGATTATATTTGTAATATCTATATATCTAGATAGAGATATCTATCTATAGATATAGATATATAATCTATACATATAGATAGATATATGTATATCTATATGTATATCTATATGTATCTATCTATAGATATAGATATCTATCTAGATAGATAGATAGATATATAATCTATAGATATAGCTAGATAAAGATAGATATAGATATCTATCTATCTAGATAGATAGATATTATATATATAATCTGTAGATATAGATAGATATCTATAGCAATAGATGATATTATATATATAATCTATACATATAGATAGATATAGATATCTAGATAGATAGATAGATATTATACACACACACACACACACACGCAAACACACACACGTGTCTATACACATACACACACTGAACTGTGACCTATCCTGAATTTCACTAGTTTCTTTTGTTTTATTTTTGGCTTGCAGTTATGTGGATACACACACGCACAAATAAGATAAGTCCCAGTGCAGTATGAACATACCCAATTCACTAAACTACAAGCGCTTGGCGTATGTTTTTTGCCTCACAAATTCACTTTGTGTTTTAGTGTTCATAGCTGGACATCCGTCTAGTTTCTACACCACAAATCACAAGGTAGGTTTCAAAGCAATGGCAGCTAGAACCACAGCTTTGTCAGTGCAGGCTGCAGTATATCCCAGACCTCTCACAGCCAAAAAAAGGAAAGGGGTATTTTTATTTTTGTATTACCTGGAACTGTGGGAAACCCGAATGGTTTGGAAAGATGGGAGGTGGAGGAAAGTTAAGGTTAAGCCAAAAAGGGTGGTTTAACGTCGCAGTTGTTGAATTGGTAGGGAAACGTGGTGCGAAAATGCTTCCACTGTATTTAAAGCTGTTTTTGTCTGATGGTGCGGTAGTTACTGTAAAACAAAATGAGGTTAAACACATTGTTAACAGACACGCTGCACTTTTCTATGCTCAACTGCAGATCGCTCCAATTAAACAGGTTGTGCTTCACCCATAAACACAATCTGCTTAAGGTCTCAGCTACTTCTCCTGGCTACAGCCCTGCAGTGCTGAGACCCAAATTCAAGAATTTGCAATTCAAACTCACTTGTCAGACCATTAAACTCTGCCCTTAGAAGACCTGGATCAGACAATTTAATTGTCTGAGTCATAGGTATGAATGAAATTGCTCATTTAAAGTAAGAGCAGAACAGCCCCTTTTGCCCCCAAATCAAGAAACTTTGCTCCAAGTTGAAAACCCTTCTTGGGGTTAGGAAACAAACAAGTGGCGTTTTGTTCGTGTTAATTTTTGAGCATCTCTGAGTCGTGATACAGCTGGCCCAAGATTTTGAAAATGGAAAAGCAAGGTGCAAACATAACTGGTTTTGCCTGTCCTGAGTCATGCAAAAGGATTGATTTTTTTTTTTCAGCACGTTCCAATAAAAGAGACTGTCTCAGGTTGGAGAGTCATTTTAAAATACAATAATTTCCAAAAGACTCTAACCATTTCTGGAAAATACTGGCCCAGGAGGTTAGCTGAGCCTTTCAAGGAGTTCAAGCTAACGCAACATGGAGTGAATGGAAGGGCCTGTTGACTTTCTTCGACATGGGACTACATTATGCATCATTCATTATCATTTATCCATCGCTTTGTTTATCCCAGTGTAGCCCATGAAGTTAAAGCATCCCTTTGATGTTATACAAAGAGAAGGAGACCTGCCAGGTTTATCGCTAAACAAAATGGCACTGAATGCAGTAGATATTCAGTGGGGAATTGTTTTAAACAGCATTTCATACTGGCTTCTTTGAAAAGGTATTAGTTAATCCATGCATTCAGAGCTTGATAGTTATGGCCATTCTGAACCTGCAATATTACTACTTGGGAGAAGGATCCTGAGTTGATCCCAGCAAGATGAGAGACGGAGATCATGTCTGACAGGAAATACGAAGTCCCAGTATGGAAAAAGTTGAGAACCACAGAGCTAATCGGGTATACAAGGCTTTGGAAGGACATCACTATACGGCCACACTTGTTCATCGCCTCTCCCTCTAAACAGCTCCTTATTTGTTTTATTTTTGCCCATCGTTCCTAAATCCCATTCACCCACCATCTCATGATACACACCTGGAGTCTGTAGCGCCTCAGCCACTAAATCAGGGTTGGTCTTCGGGCAGATCTTGGAAAGCCCTAGGATCTGCTTCTTCTGTCCTGGAGCTTGACTTTCCACGGTTGTGGTGGTTAAAGGGGTTGCTGCTGCGCTCTCCTTCTGGCCGAGGGAGCTGAGTTTGCTATTTTGTAGGAAGTCCTTGACCGTCTTGGCTTTCTCTGCCACTAGCTGCTTGTCGGGAGCTTTGGCGGTCTCCGTGTGCTTCACTGGAAACTGCACCAGTAACTTACTGATCTCTAGGTTAGACGCTTCTATGTTAGTGATGCCATTGTCCACCCCTTTTGAGTTCTTGCTGCTGCATTTTGCAAGGCGTGAACTCTCCGCGATGGTGGCTTTTGTAGACAGCTGTGCATCACAGAGAGCTCTTAGCTTCCTCTCCCTTTCTTTGCTTCCAATCATGGCTTTGTACACACTTTCCACTCCTTCTGTTTCATCTAGTAACTGGTCCCTGTTGGAAGGTGGAATCAGGCTGCTGTTTGAAGCTGTCTGACTTAAGGTAAAGTCTGTTTTCTTGCCTTCCTCTGAACCTTGCATTTCTGTCTCATTAATGGTCTCCTGTGTAAGGCTCAAGTATTCCTGTTCCACCAGAAGAGAAATTTCATCTTTGACACAGTTCTGTTCCAAGGATCTACATGAAAGAGAGAAATCTAACATAGATAATGCACATCCAAAAGGGAGAGCTGAAAATCACTTAGATGAAAATGCATTAATGGAGGGCAAAGAATTATTCTAAGATATGTGCTTAAAATAAAGAGAAGACATTTGGATCTACAAATATATACAGATATATACACACATATACATATACTTATATAGATGTATGCATGCATGTATATATCTATATGTATGTATGTATGTGTATATATGTATATATGTGTGTGTATGTGTGTATATATATATTATGTGTGTGTATTATGTGTGTGTATATATACACACACATATGTGTATGTGTGTGTATATATATACACACACATATACACACACATACACACACAAATATTTGGATCTACAAATATATACATATATACACACAAATATACATATATATGTATATATATATGTATGTATATTTGTATATATACACAAATCTCTCTGTCTCTATATAGATATATCTACATATAGAGATAGCTATATCTATATATATATCTATACACATATCCATATATTCCTATATCCCTAGCTATATCTATATTTCTATATATATAGGTATATCTTTGGAAATATAGATATAGATATGGATATATGGATATGTGTATATATGTATATATATATATAGCAAAATGAAGCAAAAGCTTTGTCTACAGCAAGGAAATGATCCATGGCTGATCGTGGGGGCCAGTAACAGAAATAAGTGTTTTTCTTAGCATAGATGATCATCCATCAAGTGATGAAAGAGAAGAAAAACAATACCGTCTTTTATCAAAAAATTTCTTCTCTGGTGCTGACATTTGAAATGTTGATAAAATTGGATCAAACCTTGGGGGGAGAAATAATCTAGTTTTTTACAAAGTTCAACTGAAGCCTATTTAGGCAGATAAATGACCCTCATGATAGGAACAGAGCACGTAACCACTAATGAACTTTTATTCTTAAACGGGTCTGAGGGAGGGAAGTTGTATTCTCCAGTTATTCATCAACATGAGACAAAAGAAAGAAAGTTGAGCGACTTGCTTCGTGACAGAAAGAGATTTCACAGCTAAATGAAGTATTAAACCTAAACCCTTACATTCCAGTCCTGGCTAAAAATTGCTCAGACTAGCTTTCCTCCCTGTGATTACTTAGGGGACCAATACGAATGGAGTGGCTCCTTTAGAGAAGGAGTAAAACTAACAGCAACACAATTGTTTGCTGGAAACTTTGGGGATAGTTTAGAGGCTGATTAAGGCTGTTTTAAATCAAATGAATTGGACCTTCAGTGCAGTCTGCAGAGATGTTTGCTGGGATGGGCTGGAAGAGTCTAGCGGGTGTTTGGAGGACGGAGCCCTGAATTTGAAGGCACGCGGGAAGTCTCTGTCATCTGCCACTTGCAATAGTTCTTTCTCTCCAAAAGCACTGAATTTTTATTTTTAACCAAACTGAACACTCTGGCTGTAGCTTTCAAACATAGGCACACAAAGTCAGGCTCCTAAATCAATACTGCTGACCTAAAAGTGTCTGATTTTTCCAGAGGGGCTGAAAACAGTTCAGCTGCAGTCCAGGACCCCTTTCTTGTTGGAGGTGTCTGGATGGGAACCCCCACACCAAACCCTAGTGAAGCCAACAGGGCCAAAGGAATTTGCACACCCAGAACTCGTTGCAAGATAAGGGCTCTGCATGTCAGCTTGGACCTCTGTTCACTCAGCATTTCTGGAAATCAGACCACTTCTATGTGTCAAATCAGGAGGTTAGGAGCTTAATTTTAAGCATCCTTGTTTGAAAAGCCTAGTTCTGAGCATTTAACAGGACCAATGGGTTAAGTCTCAATGCATTTTTCTGTGACTGACAACAAGCTGCAGGCCACCACTCCAGCTCCTAAACTGAGCTCCCCATCTCTACTCCATTGTGTTCACCTGCAGCTCCTTAAGTCACTCCTCTGCAGTAGTTTTGACTTAATCCTTCAACCCTCTGTGAATACCCTGCACAGTAAAACCTGATCCCCTCAATCCTGGAAGTAAAAACCATCTCTGCATTATATGCTCTGCTCTAGGGTCCCTAACTGCAGCAATATCGTTTGTCTTTCAAGGCCGTCATTTTATAAAGGCTTATCCGTGAGCCTGGTATTACAAGCATGTGCCTAAACCTTTGCAGAAGCAGCACCTAAATTTAAAGTCCACAGCACATTAGAAAAGAGAGCTGGAAAGCAGGGGAAGATTCATGGAAGATCACTTAGGACCAAGCTCTTCAAGATATTTTGGGACCTAAGTACCATCCATTGAAAGTGCGGGACTCAGAGCAACTCCATGGCAAAACCAAGTAGTTGACCCATGCATTAAGTCAGTGTGTTGCAGGGAGCTGGGTAACGGCCCCACCTGGGATGAATTAGCGGCTTCCCAGGTGTTGAAGTGCTTAGTGATGAGGAGAGGTTGTGTGAGGGCTCGGAATAGGGACAGGACTAGGAGTGGGGTTTGCTATATGAGTTGGTATTTGCTGCATAGGTAGTAGAAAAGTCCTTTAAGCCAGATAGTAAGACCTGGTTTATATATCTTGATTGCCAGATTAATGCAGCGGTGTTGGTGCTGGACCAATGAAGGCATCAGGGGTGGGAGTGGAAGGAGGGACATGCTGATCCAAGTGCAAGCTTCCACAAAGCCCCTAGCTGGTGAGATCCAAGCACCTGGGCAAGCTAGGATAGGGACAGCGCCTGATGCTGGGCTTGGGGAGACCCTACTCAGGGCAAGACACAGGCAGGATCGAACCGAGCAGCCACCCGAGGCCTGGACAGAAAGGGAGCCCAAAAATGGTAACTTAAAAAATTATTATTTAATATCATTATCTCTAATGAAGGGGGGCTCGATACTAAAAGTTCACCTGGGGCCACCAGGAGTCTAGGTATGATGCTGACCCTACTATGTGGCATTTAGGATGTTGCAGCCTCATGACCTACAGTCCTACACCCCTGCTTAACCCTACCCCTCTCCCCAGGGAACAGCCCCACCGAAGTCAAGGGTCTACCTGTACATCTAAAATGGGGATTCTCAGCCTCTTTAGACTCAAAGCAGCTCTCAATCAACTCAAGACATCCTGTGGAAAATGGAAGCTTTGTTTTCACTCATTTTTTTGACTACAGAAAAATAATTGAGAATCTTTGTGTTGCAGAGAGCTTAAAAAGACCTCGACAGGTCAAATTTTTTTTAATATTATGGATTCCTATTTGAAATCTCTGGGTTAATCCTGTTTGTACACCTTGTAGCACTAATGTTTTGTGGCATCTGATAGCACCCTTGGAAGGATCGTAAGGGTGCAACAGGATCCGGGCTGAGAATCGCAGCTCTGGAGTTAAGCAAACCTGTTTGCAGGGTTAGGATGGAACAATGTTGTTGCTATTTATCTATTTAGACGTATACCTGCCCTATCCTAAAAGGTTCAAAGTAGCTTACAAAAATGGACAAGCAACCCAAAGATAAGAAATAACAAGCTCCCCAAATGATACTCCAAAACTTCAGACCTCCTCCCTACCCCACTCTCAACTACCATGCCCCAGCCTAACACCCATAAAAGTAAACCCTTCAGCCAGCCTCGACTATGCTTCCCAACTGGTATTTCCATCCAGGTATATGAAACCTCTTCCATTACCACTACATAGCAAAACTGAAGATGAGTAACATGCTTTAATCTGTATGTGTAAAGTCAAAGGTGAGAGGTGGGGACATTGGAAGGGGGAGGCTTTTTTTTGCCTGGGGCTTTGACAAAAAAAATCCTAAAAAAATCTTTTGGCCCTTGTTCACCAATAGGCTGCGTCTTGTGCATCTGCAAAGTGAGCGTGAAATACTTTGGAAATTTAGGATGACACTGCTTATCCCTGCTTTGTCCTGGTGTGTGGGTCTCCTGTTGTGCCACAACAGCGTCTGAGTGCCACAGTCCAGTAGTGCGACGCATCACCTACAAGCCTTGAACACAAAGGATATTCCTGGCCGAAACCGCTACATGCAAGGTGCCTGACTGTGGTGAATTGGAGCCATTTCATGGTAAGAATATTTTTCTTTTTCTTTTAAGCACGTTTTAATTATGGATTTGCCCAAAGTAGCTCCCTATTCCAAAGTGCTACTTCCCTCTTTTGCCTCTGGCTGGGAGTGTACCGCTCACTCCTTTCCAAAAGCAATTATAACTTAATGCCTCGTCTCTTCTTTGTTTGGGGGCTTGGGTGCCTAGACATGTGCTATACATGTACCTGTGTCTAAACAGGCTGCTATACTTCTTAGCAAATCATAAATGATACATTTTCCTAATTATCTTTGCTTATGGAATAACTCTATAATTAGGGTTTTTAAACTGCATGGCTCTTCCCCTTCCTTTAACACCCCCCCACGACTAACAAATTTCAGTGCAATACTGCAGAAATTAAATGAACAGATGGCTCTATGTGATGTATGTGTGCTTTTTTTTTTTGTATGAAGTGCAGCCTTTTTAGTACAGGATTTGAAGTGTACAACCTTCCCCGTCCTCAACCCCTGCCCTCCCTGACTCTGACTTTTACTGGCGTTCCTTTTAGCATTTCCAGTTCCACAGGCTGCAATCTTCATCCTGAAACTCTTCACCCATGTACTTGTATTTGTGTGCCATCAATGTCTGTGTAAGTTTTGGGGGTTTCTTTTGGTCGAGCACACTCCCTGCCCCTCTCCCCCTCCACTACAAACTAGCATGGTCAATGCTGGCATCCCACCAGGCTTGGGGCGAGGGAAGAAGGGGAGGGCAAGGAAAGGTGGGGAGTTGTGAGCTCAGACTCGAGGTTTTTATTGCTTTGGAGAAAGGGAGGTGAAGAAAGTAGACTTTGGAAAGAGGGGATGGTTACCGGGATGTTAAGGGCACCAAGCTGCCTGTATCCCCGTTAAGCAAAAAGAATAATTGTTTGAAGGCAACATTTGAAGCTAACTGCAAACTGGGTTGAGTGGTAAATAGGAACTGTTTAGAGGAATCTGGATGAGCAAAAAC